TGTTTCTCCACAGTTTGGAATTTAGTAGTCTTTTTCCATTCAGGACATTTGGCTCTCCACAGTTTCCTTTTCTTTATTAGAATTGCCATACCTTCTTAGAAAGATAGTGGGGTGGTTTCCTGTTGCCTTCTCCATTTGGAATTTAGGACTTTTCCATTCAGGACATAGGCAATCATGGCTCTCCACAGTTTCCTTTTCTTTATTAGCTGCGAATTGCCATACCTTCTTAGGAAAGATAGTGGGGTGGTTTCCTGTTGCCTTCTCCTCAGTTTGGAATTTAGAGTAGTCTTTCTCCATTCAGGACATAGGCAATCATGGCTCTCCACAGTTTCCTTTTCTTTATTAGCTGCAATTGCCATACCTTCTTAGGAAAGATAGTGGGGTGGTTTCCTGTTGCCTTCTCCACAGTTTGGAATTTATTCAGAGGCAATCATGTCTTTCTCCATTCAGGACATAGGCAATCATGGCTCTCCACAGTTTCCTTTTCTTTATTAGCTGCAATTGCCATACCTTCTTAGGAAAGATAGTGGGGTGGTTTCCTGTTGCCTTCTCCACAGTTTGGAATTTAGAGTAGTCTTTCTCCATTCAGGACATAGGCAATCATGGCTCTCCACAGTTTCCTTTTCTTTATTAGCTGCAATTGCCATACCTTCTTAGGAAAGATAGTGGGGTGGTTTCCTGTTGCCTTCTCCACAGTTTGGAATTTAGAGTAGTCTTTTCTCCATTCAGGACATAGCAATCATGGCTCTCCACTTTGTTTCCTTTTCTTTATTAGCTGTTGCCTTCTCCACAGAATTGCCATACCTTCTTAGGAAAGATAGTGGGGTGGTTTCCTGTTGTCTTCTCCACAGTTTGGAATTTAGAGTAGTCTTTCTCCATTCAGGACATAGGCAATCATGGCTCTCCACAGTTTCCTTTTCTTTATTAGCTGCGAATTGCCATACCTTCTTAGGAAAGATGGGGTGGTTTCCTGTTGCCTTCTCCACAGTTTGGAATTTAGAGTAGTCTTTCTCCATTCAGGACATAGGCAATCATGGCTCTCCACAGTTTCCTTTTCTTTATTAGCTGCGAATTGCCATACCTTCTTAGGAAAGATAGTGGGGTGGTTTCCTGTTGCCTTCTCCACAGTTTGGAATTTAGAGTAGTTTTTCTCCATTCAGGACATAGGTAATCATGGCTCTCCACAGTTTCCTTTTTTTTATTAGCTGCGAATTGCCATACCTTCTTAGGAAAGATAGTGGGGTGGTTTCCTGTTGCCTTCTCCACAGTTTGGAATTTAGAGTAGTTTTTCTCCATTCAGGACATAGGCAATCATGGCTCTCCACAGTTTCCTTTTCTTTATTAGCTGCGAATTGCCATACCTTCTTAGGAAAGATAGTGGGGTGGTTTCCTGTTGTCTTCTCCACAGTTTGGAATTTAGAGTAGTCTTTCTCCATTCAGGACATAGGCAATCATGGCTCTCCACAGTTTCCTTTTTCTTTATTAGCTGCGAATTGCCATATCTTCTTAGGAAAGATAGTGGGTTGTGTTTGTTTCCTTTCTCCATTCAGGACATAGGCTTCTCCACAGTTTGGAATTTACCTTCTAGGAAAGATAGTCTTTGTCTCCATTTGGAATTAGAGGTCTTTTCCAGGACATAGGCAATCATGGCTCTCTAGTTTCCTTTTCTTTATTAGCTGCAATTGCCATACCTTCTTAGGAAAGATAGTGGGGTGGTTTCCTGTTGTCTTCTCCACAGTTTGGAATTTAGAGTAGTCTTTCTCCATTCAGGACATAGGCAATCATGGCTCTCCACTGTTTCCTTTTCTTTATTAGCTGCAATTGCCATACCTTCTTAGGAAAGATAGTGGGTGGTTTCCTGTTGTCTTCTCCACAGTTTGGAATTTAGAGTAGTCTTTCTCCATTCAGGACATAGGCAATCATGGCTCTCCACAGTTTCCTTTTCTTTATTAGCTGCAATTGCCATACCTTCTTAGGAAAGATAGTGGGGTGGTTTCCTGTTGCCTTCTCCACAGTTTGGAATTTAGAGTAGTCTTTCTCCATTCAGGACATAGGCAATCATGGCTCTCCACAGTTTCCTTTTCTTTATTAGCTGCGAATTGCCATACCTTCTTAGGAAAGATAGTGGGGTGGTTCTCCTGTTGTCTTTTCCACAGTTTGGAATTTAGGAAAGTAGTCTTTCCCATTCCAGGACATTAGGCAATCTTTCTCCATTCAGGACATAGGCACAGTTTCCTTTTCTTTATTAGCTGCAATTGCCATACCTTCTTAGGAAAGATAGTGGGGTGGTTTCCTGTTGCCTTCTCCACAGTTTGGAATTTAGAGTTTTCTCCATTCAGGACATAGGCAATCATGGCTCCCACAGTTTCCTTTTTCTTTTTAGCTGCAGTATTAGGAAAGAATTGCCATACCTTCTCCACAGGAAAGATCTTTCTCCAATGGCAATCTTTTTTTCCATTTGGAATTTAGGAAAGATCTTTTCCTCCATTCTCAGTTTAGACATAGGACAATCATGGCTCTCCACAGTTTCCTTTTCTTTATTAGCTGCAATTGCCATACCTTCTTAGGAAAGATAGTGGGGTGGTTTCCTGTTGCCTTCTCCACAGTTTGGAATTTAGAGTAGTCTTTCTCCATTCAGGACATAGGCAATCATGGCTCTCCACAGTTTCCTTTTCTTTATTAGCTGCGAATTGCCATACCTTCTTAGGAAAGATAGTGGGGTGGTTTCCTGTTGCCTTCTCCACAGTTTGGAATTTAGAGTAGTCTTTCTCCATTCAGGACATAGGCAATCATGGCTCTCCACAGTTTCCTTTTCTTTATTAACTGTGAATTGCCATACCTTCTTAGGAAAGATAGTGGGGTGGTTTCCTGTTGCCTTCTCCACAGTTTGGAATTTAGAGTAGTCTTTCTCCATTCAGGACATAGGCAATCATGGATCTCCACAGTTTCCTTTTTTATTTATTAGCCATACCTTCTTAGGAAAAGACAGTTGCCATTTCCTCTTGCTTCTTAGGAAAGATATTCAGGACATAGGTTTCTGTTGCCTTCTCCTGCAGTTTGGAAGAATTTAGTTGTCTTCTCCACAGTTTAGTAGTCTTTTCTCCATTCAGGACATAGGCAATCATGGATCTCCACAGTTTCCTTTTCTTTATTAGCTGCGAATTGCCATACCTTCTTAGGAAAGATAGTGGGGTGGTTTCCTGTTGTCTTCTCCACAGTTTGGAATTTAGAGTAGTCTTTCTCCATTCAGGACATAGGCAATCATGGCTCTCCACAGTTTCCTTTTCTTTATTAGCTGCGAATTGCCATACCTTCTTAGGAAAGATAGTGGGGTGGTTTCCTGTTGCCTTCTCCACAGTTTGGAATTTAGAGTAGTCTTTCTCCATTTAGAACATAGGCAATCATGGCTCTCCACAGTTTCCTTTTTCTTTATTAGGCTGCAATTTCCATACCTTCTTAGGAAAGATAGTGGGGTTTGGTTTCCTGTTGCCTTCTCCACAGTTTGGAATTTACCTTCTTTAGGAAAGTAGTCTTTCTCCATTTAGGAATTCATAGGCAATCATGGCTCTCCACAGTTTCCTTTTCTTTATTAACTGTGAATTGCCATACCTTCTTAGGAAAGATAGTGGGGTGGTTTCCTGTTGCCTTCTCCACAGTTTGGAATTTAGAGTAGTCTTTCTCCATTTAGAACATAGGCAATCATGGCTCTCCACAGTTTCCTTTTCTTTATTAGCTGCGAATTGCCATACCTTCTTAGGAAAGATAGTGGGGTGGTTTCCTGTTGTCTTCTCCACAGTTTGGAATTTAGAGTAGTCTTTCTCCATTCAGGACATAGGCAATCATGGATCTCCACAGTTTCCTTTTCTTTATTAGCTGCAGGTTGACATACCTTCTTAGGAAAGATAGTGGGGTGGTTTCCTGTTGTCTTCTCCACAGTTTGGAATTTAGAGTAGTCTTTCTCCATTCAGGACATAGGCAATCATGGCTCTCCACAGTTTCCTTTTCTTTTATTAGCTGCAATTGCCATACCTTCTTAGGAAAGATAGTGGTTTCCTGTTGTCTTCTCCACAGTTTGGTTTAGAGTAGTCTTTCTCCATTGGACATGCAATCTTCTCCACAGTTTGCTGCGAATTTACCTTCTTAGGAAAGTAGTGGGGTGGTTTCTTTCTCCATTCAGGATCTCTCCTACATAGGCAATCATGGCTCTCCACAGTTTCCTTTTCTTTAATTAGCTGCGAATTTCCTTTTCTTTATTAGCCATACCTTCTTAGGAAAGATAGTGGGGTGGTTTCCTCTTGCCTTCTCCACAGTTTGGAATTTAGAATAGTCTTTCTCCATTCAGGACATAGGCAATCATGGCTCTCCACAGTTTCCTTTTCTTTATTAGCTGCGAATTGCCATACCTTCTTAGGAAAGATAGCTTAGACTACTCACATTTCAGTTGCATTTCTCTCATGTTATCTGGGTTTCTTTCGCTTTGTCGCGCTGATTACAAGTACGACCGTTTTACTCAAGACAAATGGCGTTTGTACAAAGACGTATGTTTTTTTTAAAGAATTTTTGGCATTTTAAACATAACTCGAAGAATAGAGACACACTGTCGAAATATTATTAAACATTTTTCAACACTAATTCTTTTTTCTTTTTATTTTCTTAAATCCTCTCGTGTAATAATAATAATAATAGTAATAATAATAATAATAATGTCTAAAAGTAAATATACTATTAACACTGTAATTAAAGAAAAGCGTGAAGCCCTGAAATGCAAGCCATGTCATGATTGGAGTAAAAAGCCATAAAAGGGTTATCGATTATGGAAGGCTTCTTGTAGAATGTTCTAACGCTTTTCCCTTGTAGTCATCTACATCGAGGCATAAAGAACTTGCCCAAGGTTCTTCATGCCTTTTTTGTTCGGCTTCCATCACGGGAACATCGAGTGAAGTCTTAATTGCCTAGCCAGATAAATAGTGGTTATCATGATGTTGTTGCTTGTAGTGATGATGCTAGTCCCGGTGGTCGGGGAAACTGAGGCTTATGCTGGGAGCCGTAAGTTCTTCGGGCGGGTAGAGAAAGTGTCCAACAGGGGAAAGAAAGAAAGAAAGAAAGAGTATTTTCCTTCCTTCTTTCCTTCTTTCCTCTTTGCATTCAATATCAGTCTTTCTTTTTTATTTCTATATTTATCTTTCTTTCTAGACTCATCTTCTTTCTTTCTTTCTTTCTTTCTTTCTTTCTTTCTTCCCTTCAAACATGCTTACTGTTTCTTTTTTCTTACTAGACTCATCTTTCTTTCAGCCTAAACCTGTCCTTTCTTTCTTTTTTTTCTTTCTTTCTTTCTTTTTTCTTTCTTTCTTTTTTCTTTCTTTCTACTCATATTTTTTTTAGTTTTCCTTCATTCATTCCCTTTCTTCTTTCTTTCTTTTTTTCTTTAACATGTTCAGACTTTCTTTTTTTTTTTCTATATTCATCTTTCTTTCTTTCTAGCCTGGACTTGTTCTTTCTTTCTTTCTTTCTTTTTTCTTTCTTTCTTTCTTTCTTTCTTTCTTTCTTTCTTTCTTTCTTTCCGACCATTTACAGTTATTTGTTAAGGTTTCTTTTATTTAATAAGATTTTTTTCTTTCTTTCTTTCTTTCTTTCTTTCTTTCTTTCTTTCTTTCTTTGCACACACTTTTCCAAACTTCCCCACCACCTTATGCTCTTACCCACACCTAAACGATAGTCTTTCTTTCTTTCTTTCTTTCTTTCTTTCTTTCTTTCTTTCTTTCTTTCTTTCTTTCCGACCATTTACAGTTATTTGTTAAGGTTTCTTTTATTTAATAAGATTATTTTCTTTCTTTCTTTCTTTCTTTCTTTCTTTTTCTTTCTTTCTTTCTTTCTTTCTTTTTGCACACTTTTCCAAACTTCCCCACCACCTTATACTCTTACCCACCTAAACGATAGTCTTTCTTTCTTTCTTTCTTTCTTTCTTTCTTTCTTTCTTTCTTTCTTTCTTTGCACACTCTTTTCCAAACTTCCCCACCACCTTATGCTCTTACCCACACCTAAACGATAGTCTTTCTTTCTTTCTTTCTTTCTTTCTTTCTTTAACATGTTCAGACTTTCTTTTTTTTTTCTATATTCATCTTTCTTTCTTTCTAGCCTGGACTTGTTCTTTCTTTCTTTCTTTCTTTCTTTCTTTCTTTCTTTCTTTCTTTCTTTCCGACCATTTACAGTTATTTGTAAAGGTTTCTTTTATTTAATAAGATTATTTTCTTTCTTTCTTTCTTTCTTTCTTTCTTTCTTTCTTTCTTTCTTTCTTTCTTTTTTGCACTCTTTTCCAAACTTCCCACCACCTTTTATGCTCTTACCCACACCTAAACGATAGTCTTTCTTTCTTTCTTTCTTTCTTTCTTTCTTTCTTTCTTTCTTTCTTTCTTTCTACTCATATTTTTTTAGTTTTCCTTCATTCATTCCCTTTCTTTCTTTCTTTCTTTCTTTAACATGTTCAGACTTTCTTTTTTTTTTCTATATTCATCTTTCTTTCTTTTTAGCCTGGACTTGTTCTTTCTTACTTTCTTTCTTTCTTTCTTTCTTTCTTTCTTTCTTTTTTTTTTTTTTCTTTGCTCTTTTCCACTTCCCACCACCTTATGCTCTTACCCACACCTAAACGATAGTCTTTCTTTTTCTTTCTTTTTTCTTTCTTTCTTTCTTTCTTTTCTTTCTTTCTTTCTTTCTTTCCGACCATTTACTGTTATTTGTTAAGGTTTCTTTTATTTAATAAGATTATTTTCTTTCTTTCTTTTTCTTTCTTTCTTTCTTTTTCTTTCTTTCTTTCTTTCTTTGCACACTCTTTTCCAAACTTCCCCACCACCTTATGCTCTTACCCACACCTAAACGATAGTCTTTTTTTTTTTTTCTTTTTTCTTTCTTTCTTTCTTTCTCATATTTTTTAGTTTTCCTTCATTCATTTTCTTTCTTTCTTTCTTTCTTTCTTTCTTTCTTTCTTTCTTTCTTTCTTTAACACGTTCAGACTTTCTTTTTTTTATATTCATCTTTCTTTCTTTCTAGCCTTGACTTGTTCTTTCTTTCTTTCTTTCTTTCTTTCTTTCTTTCTTTCTTTCTTTGCACACTCTTTTCCACACTTCCCCACCACCTTATGCTCTTACCCATACCTAAACGATAGTCTTTCTTTCTTTCTTTCTTTCTTTCTTTCTTTCTTTCTTTCTTTCTTTCTACTCATATTTTTTTAGTTTTCCTTCATTCATTCCCTTTCTTTCTTTCTTTCTTTCTTTCTTTCTTTAACATGTTCAGACTTTCTTTTTTTTTTCTATATTCATCTTTCTTTCTAGCCTGGACTTGTTCTTTCTTTCTTTCTTTCTTTCTTTCTTTCTTTCTTTCTTTCTTTCTTTCTTTCTTTCCGACCATTTCCTGTTATTTGTTAAGGTTTCTTTTATTTAATAAGATTATTTTCTTTCTTTCTTTCTTTCTTTCTTTCTTTCTTTCTTTCTTTCTTTCTTTCTTTCCTTCTTTCTTTCTTGACACATTTTGATACTTTCTTTCTAGACTTATCTTTTTTAATTTTCTTTCTTTCTTTGTTTCTTTTGTCATTTAGTTTCTTTCTTTCCTTCTAGACTTATCTTCTTTCTTTTTCTCTTTCGTCTTCTGTCAATCTCTTTGTTTTTCTTTTCTTTCTTCTCTCTGACATCCATTTGAATGGGATTGTATTAATTAATTAGTAATGTAAACATCTCCTACTCACTGATACCCTATGGTTTAATTAATTCATGTAAAAAAAAAAGAAGACTAAACGGTTTGCGTATCGCCCGGTTCACACTTCTTCCTGTCTTTTGAACAGGTGTAGAGGTCTCTTGCTTACCTCTTTAGTATTTTAAGAGATTAATTTCTTTGTAAATTTGGATTTTTATTCTATGTAATTTATATGCTCTGTTATAATAAATACATGGAGCTCTCTTTTTGTGGATCAGTTTTAAAATTTTATATTATTAGGATTCTGAGATGAGGTATTATGTATACTATTTACATTGCTCGGACTATCATTCTAATCTTTGCTGCCTTATTTATCACAACGTTTTGGCCGTTCGTTCCGTTGAACTGAACCCTTTATTTGGCTCGATATCAGTTATCAGTTATCTCTTGTTAAATCCCCTCTCCAAGTTCTCCACCGCCTTTACCGGGTATTGAACTCATACTCTTTTGTTCCTGTCACTGGTGCTAACAAATGCCTTTATCTACTGTGTCATGTGTCCTTAAGGACGTCTGTGTATGAATTTCTGGATATTATAAACCTAATGTCTTCAGCAACCATTTTTACCAGTGCTCATATTGCAATATTTGCTGTTATCATTGCATGCTCTTTTACCAGAGCTCATATTGCATTGCAACACACTTCGAAATGGGATCACACATATATCGACAGGATGAGCAATGGGCTCGCCATTATCACCAGCAATGGCGAATATATACATGGAATGTATTAGGATTCACTTGGATTATATACCAATGGATTATTACCTATATATATTTATATATAAATATAATACTGTTAAAAAAATTGCAATATTTGTAGGGGAATAGTTCTCGTGAGGTTTACTAGATTAAGACTATATTTTGGTGTGGGTGTAGGTAGTGCAGAAGGAATTTATTTCCGTATTTATTTTCTTTCTTCTGGAAAGTTAATTATTCCTTTTTCTTCTCCTATAGGCAAAGTTTGCACTGTTTTCAGGCATTGTTGTAAGCTGTTGCGCTTTTATACAGAATCCGTCTGAAGTTATTATGCAAATAGCAGGTCTACTTCAACTACATTCTTCTAACGTCTCCACATAAGCTCTGAAATTTGATTCACTATTTATTTTATTTATCCTCAATAGGAGTAGATAGGTTCGTCTATCGCGCGGTTCGCATTCCTTCCCGGTCATTTGAACTGGCGTAGAGATTTTTGCCTTGTTTCCGGCTTAAGATTGGGTTTTCCGGTTTCTTCACAAGTGTACTTCAGCTCTGGACTTCTAATGTCTCCGCCTAAACTCTGAAATTTCATTTACTATTTATTTATTTATCTTCCGTTTGTCGTTCCTTCTGAAGTCTACTACATTTTTATTCACTATTTATTTATTTATCTTCAATAGGAGTAGATAGATTCGCCTATTGCCCGGTTCACTCTCCTCCCCAGTCTTTTGAACTGGTGTAGAGTTTTATCCCTTGTTTCCCGTTTAGGATTGCGTTTGGGGTTCCTTCTGAAGACTACTACATTTTTATCCACCATTTATTTATTTATTCTCAGTAGGATTAGATGGGTTTGCCCATCGTACATTTTTTTTTAACAGTGCTAGAGGTTTATCCCTTGGTTTCTGTTTTCGATTGGTATCCGATTCCCTGTAAAGTTTTCTCCTTTCACTCTCTGTAGTCCTTTCCGTCTTAGTGGCATTATCGCCTTGTTTGGGGCAAATCGATTTTTTTTTTTAAATTGACAATTCGAATTCGCTTGGAGTAATCTTTGTCAAATTTGAAACGATTAATTTAGAAGTTAAAACAAATAAATATTGAAATAGTTTCAATATCTTTTTATTAAAATTATTAGATTTATTGTAAAAAACTCCAGTCAGAAGATATTATGCCGATTACGTGAATATTAGTTTAAAGCCCTCTGAAATCAAATAATAATTTTCCATAATATAGTTTGAAACGCTTTCTTGTCGTGGTGGAGAGGCTTTCATGGTCCAGTGATTCTGGAAGCGATACAGCCGTGAGTTCTAAACTAGTGGTAGGGTTACCTTTGGGGGTAAGGTCGAAGACGAGGACCCAGACTAAGCGCGACCAACTACAAAGATCCCAGTGGTGGAAAAAGCAGGTGACGATTACAACAGATCCCAAAGTATGAACCAGCCGATGAAGAGGGCTACGCCCGTCGGACATGTTATAGAAGGCGCCACTCGCAATTATAACAGAGTCAGATTCATAACTGGCCATCTCGTTCTATGTGCTGCAGAGGAAGGTCACCTCCTGGCAAGTTGAGGGCCACCTTAAACAAATTCTCACCATCTACTTTGATTTTGTTTCATCTCCAATCAATGCCTGCAAAACTAAACGGCGATAGGTAACGGATGACGGCAGTAGGTTTTCGTACTGAACGTGAACGTTGGCGGCAACTTCAATCATCACCGACATCATCTTAAAAGATACGATCAACGAAGCAGAAATTAAAGCTTCGAGGGTATTTCCACTCACACTACACGTGTGTCATTTCGCTCTGGAAGGATGTCTGCTGTGTTGTGCCTATTTTGCAAAATTCCTTTAGTGACACCACGGATACGAAGAAAGTAAGTGTAAATAGCAGCAGTGAAAAGCCGAATCGTATAATTTCACTCAAGGTAAAGCGTGAAATAATTAAAAAAAATCATGAACAAGTAGTCATATATGGTCAGCTATGCCTGATTTTATGTTTTACGATGTTCTTGTCTCTTCCCTGGGCTGGTGGTATCACGGCTACGACTAGCTTGGACCGGCTTCGGCCTGGACCAGTTATGACAAGCCAAGACCAGCTATGACTAGCTTAGACCAGCTCTGACCAGCTTGCACAAGCTATGACAAGCCAAGACTAGCTATGACTAGCTTAAATCAGCTCTGACCAGCTTGGACCAGCTATGACCAGCTTGGACAAGCTATGACAAGCTATGACAAGCCAAGACTAGCTATGACTAGCTTAGATCAGCTCTGACTAGCCTGGACAAGCCAAGACCAGCTATGACTAGCTTAGACCAGCTCTGACCAGCTTGAACAAGCTATGACCAGCTAAGACCAGCTTAGATCAGCGGCCCGAGTGAAAACACTCGGGTTCCCACGTTAAAAACTGACCTTGTGTCACAACCTGACATACACTTACCTTGAGGGGCAGCCTGTTTATAAGTCCCCAAAATTCATACACAGACGTCCTCAAGGACATATGGCTCAGTAGATAAAGACGTTCCTTAGACCCAGTGACTAGACCTAAGAGTTGTGTGTTCAATACCAGACCACAGCAATGGTGGACCAAAAATTTTTATAGTCGAGTTAAAGGGAAATAACTGGCACAACCAGAAGAGGCATGGTACGTGGAACAAACTACCCCAGTGGATGAAATAAAGGGTTCGGTTCGAAATTCTAATCACCTGAAGAAACATTGTGAATATGGCAGTGGAGATGGCAATGTGGATAAGAGTCCGAATAATAGATGTAGAAATTGTTTTGTTTACGTTAGGATACGAAGTTACTCATATTCGAGGAGAAGCTGTCCTTTTTTAATTAAACAGTATTTTTTATCCTATTAAATCTACCGGATTAAATATTCGAGAAATTTGACCGTAAGTTCTACGCGGCTGAGCGGTTAGGTATGTCAGATCCAGTGAGAGTTCCCGATAGGGGATGCAGATTCGAATCCTGGCGGAGAACGAATATTTTGCTGACTAGATATCTCGAATATTCAGGCCGGTAGATGTAGTTGGATAATTAAAATTATAAGCATCCATCCAAAATATTTTTAAAAAATTTAAATTATTTAAAAAATAAATTATATATATATATATATATATATACGTTTCATTAAATAATATAGACAAGTGTTGTCTATTTATTTTATGTAAAATTTTTTCGTATCTTTTGATAAGTTTGGTAACATTATCATTAACCGAAAAATTTGGTAACATTATCATTAACCGAAGAATTTTTTCGGTTAATGATAATGTTACCAAACTTATCAGAAGATACGAAAAATTTTACATAAAATAAATAGACAACACTTGTCTATATATTTAATGAAACGTGTATAAATGAAAATAATAGTCAAATATTAATAATAATATATATATATATATATATATATATATATGAAGAAATATAGTCTTAAGATGTGCTATATTTATGGGATAATGTGCCTACATCAGAGATAGACAAATATAAAATTAACTGTTTAGAGGCTCTGTTTCATGTTAGATTCAATCGTCAGGCCTGATGATTGCGTCTAGCATGAAACAGACTGTCGCCTAAGTGTTGACTTAATGTTCATTTATATATATATTACCCAATGGAATAAATTATGACCATGGAATATTAGTGTTTAAGCCTTTTTATTATATCCTTACTCTGTCCTGGACATTGAGTTCTACATGGATTCTATCCTGTCAGAATTTTTTATTAAAAAAATATACATGTATGTGTATGCACCTATGTATATATATCTATATATTTTGCATATATATGTGTATATTTACCACTAATATTATCTATCTATCTATCTATCTATCTATCTATCTATATATATATATATATATATATATATATATATATATATATAACCAATTAGTACAAAGTTAGGCCATAAATTTAAAAATTTAATTGACAAAGATTTTCCGAAAAGCAATCCCTTTAGTAAAATTTTTAATAGGAATACATTAAACCTTAGCTCTAGATGTACTTATAATCTTGAGAAAATAATAAAGTTGCACAACAATAAAACACTTAACCAATTTAACAATAATGCAAGTACTAATTCTAATATAGTTAAGGGACAGAAACCATTGTAATTGTAGGAATCCTAATGCTTATTGTCTAACAAATGCTTGACGAAACCCCTTGTGTATAGCAATTTTCCACGCATAGCTAAGATGTAGCACAAAGCCAAAATTATGGGGCACCCAGTTAGAATCGAACTCCCTACTCATTCGTAATTGTTCTAGCAAGACAAGCTTGCTAACCATTACACCGCCTCGAGGTGCCTTAAATGCATTGTGTATATGTGTTCTATTTCCTTAAAAGAAAATCCGAGGATTGAAAAGTTTTATATTAGCAGCACTATGAACGCATTCAAAAATCGTTGGTATAAACACCTATCTTCTTTTTTTAATGTTACTTAGAGAAATAGAATTTCACTTTCAAAATATTTTTGAAAGTTGAAAGAAGAAAATAAAAGCCCTAAAGTTAAATGGAAAAGTTTAAAACTATCTAGAACATGTACATTCTTATATCATCCTTGTTTTCTGGAGAGCGGTTTTACATATGTTCGAATATAATATCTGATAACAAAGAATATATATATATATATATATATATATATATATAGTCTTTATTATATATAGAGAGAGATATATATTTGTGTGTGTGTGTGGTGAGAGAAAGAGAAAGGGGATGCTGTCTGTATGTACGTGAGAGTGTACCTGTGCACAAATACACTTGCCTTCTGTGTATTCAGATCTCATTGCAAACTTCTCATCATGAATAAACCATGGATTAAATATAATCACAGGGAAGTGAGCATTACTGGGAGGTAATGGTGTCGACTGTTCTGTATATTATCGATAAATATAGAAAAATAAATAAAAATTGACAAAAAACCTTTTGTTAGAAATGGGACAGGTTGAAGTCGGCAAATTAAACTTGTGTGATAAAATATTTAACAACATGATAGCAACAATTGCGTAATTATTGCTATCTATCTATCTATCTATCTATCTATCTATCTATCTATCTATCTATCTATCTCAGTCTGTCCATTATCTATCTATCTATCTCGGTGTGTTCATTATCTATCTATCTATCTATCTATCTATCTATCTATCTATCTATCTATCTCAGTGTGTTCATTATCTATCTATCTATCTATCTATCTATCTATCTATCTATCTATCTCGGTGTGTTCATTATCTATCTATCTATCTATCTATCTACTCATATATTATGTCATCCAGTGTATCTCGCTCGTAAACAATGACCACGACGACAGCAACAGAAGCCATTACTACTGTAAGGAGTTGGGTACATTCTGGGTACAGCGTATAGAAAGTTGTGGAGAGCCATGGCCTTCTACGTCCTGAAGAGAAGAAGAATGATTTCAATTCAATTGCATTGTCATAAACTGAGGCCGAGAAGGCAAATTTAGGTTTTTGTTTAGTTCTTAGATTCAACAAAATGCGTGTGTGCATGGGCGGGTATGTGTGTGATCTGGGGAGTCTAAAAGGCCCCAAACCTCCTATAGCCCTATCAATTATATATATATATATATATATATATATATATATATATATATATATATATATAGTGCTTACCAATGATTTTCCCGAAAACTTACGACAATAGAAATGTTCGTGTCGCCTAAACCAAGCGGGGAAAGACAGGCGTAGAAGGTTTTTATTTATTTATTTATTTATTTTCAAGGACCTAATGACATAAAAACAAAAAAACGACAAATAAAAAATTAACAATGTATGAGTAAAAAGCCTGCAGACTCGCACGTGTACCTAGGCATTCACGTGCATTCACACAGAGACACACACACACTCGCGCGCGCGCGCGTCATCACGCACACGCACATAGGGATGCAGCCCCTTACGTAGATAGGTATACATTAACGCAAAGAGCGCGTACACCGACACACACACAAATACACACGCACACAGAATCAAGCTTATAAAGTGGTCCGAGGGACTAACAAAAGCTTTAACTGAATTTGAGATCTGACAAAAGACATAGATAGATAGATAGATAGATAGATAGAAAATGAACAGACTGAGATAGATAGATAGATAGATAGATAGAAAATGAACATAGATAGATAGATAGATAGATAGATAGATAGATAGATACGAACAGACTGATATAGATAGATAAATAAATAGATAGATAGAAAGAAAACGAACTGAGATAGATAAATAGAAAGAAAATGAACTGAGAAATATATATATATATATATATATAGATAGACAGATAGAAAATGAACAGACATAGATAGATAGATAGATAGATAGATAGATAGATAGAAAGAAAATGAACTGAGAAATTGAATTGAGATATAGGGATAGATAGATAGAAAATGAACAGACTGGGATAGAGATAGATAGATAGACAGATAAATAGATAGATAGATAGAAAATGAATAGATTGAGATAGAAAGAAAATGAATAGACTGGGTCTCAGATCAAAAGCATTTAAATCAGACATATACTATCTAATAGACACACGCAACTGATCCAATCTAAGATAGATAGATAGATTGATAAATAGATAGATAGATAATGAGTATGCATAAAAATCAAAGCTTCATAGTGACTGTCAGTTTCATGATAGAATGTGATTTCATTTTAGTCTGAAGATCATATGGAGGCATGAAACTAACAGTCCCCATACAAAACTGATTTCTATGTCCACATCGCCTCTATCTACAAATGATCAAATTGTGATATTGAATTCTCTTCATACACTTCCGATTATAAATAAAGAGCAAATGCTAAACAATGGCCAATGAAAGAGACTAAAGAAGTGGCCGAAAGCGCTTGGGACACCATGGCCAATGTTTGCACTCCCTTGCACCCACCAAACTGAAAACATTTAAGAATATATGAAAAACTCTCATTGATGGATAGATAGATATGAATAGACTCCTCTTGATAGATAGATATGTATAGTCTGCAATGTATATATATATATATATATATATATATATATATATATAAAGATAGATAATGAAAATATTTACATAGATAGATAGATACGGGACATAGATAGATAGAGAGATAAATAGATAGATAGATAGATAAGCATGAAAAGATTCTGATTGTTGGAAAAATATATATGAACAGACTGTGAACGATAGATACATAGATAGGTAGGTAGGCATGAACAGACCAATGTATATATATATATATATATATTGATAATATTAGTGGTTAATATATATATATATATATATATATATATATATATATATATATATATATATATATATATATATATATATATGTATGTATGTATAAATATGTATATGTATAAACATGTATATATATAAATTCTCAAGAGTATAGAATCCAGGTAGAAAAAAATGTCCAGGAAATTTGTAGGTCGGATCATTTGGATCGTGATTACGATTCCAGTGTAGTAAATTATAACCATGGAATATTAGTGTTTGAGCCTTTTTATATATATATATATATATATATATATATATATATATATATATATATATATATATATATATATATATAAGTGTACATATATATATATATGTATATATAAGTACATATATATATATATATATATATATATATATATATATATATATATATATATATATGAATTTCGCTCTCTCTCCATATATATAGATAGCCGCAAGCGCACGGAAAAAACGGACATTCGGACAGTTTTTATATAATTTATCATCTGAAAAGAAAAAATCATTAGAACACATGAGAAATTGTATAAAAAACTAATTAAAAGCACCTTGTCTGTCGTATTCAATAAAATGTACATGAACGAAGGATTGCTGCCTAAATACACACACACACACAAATATATATTTATAAGTGAACATTGAAGTCAACACTCAGAGGCGACAGGCTGTTTCTTGCTAGACGCCTGCTTGACTTCAATGTTCACTTTTACATTTATATTTACATACGCTTTATCTCTGATATTGACCACTTTATCCCATAATATAGCACACTTTAAAACTATGTTTCTGCATATATATATATATATATATATATATATATATATACAAAGCCCGCCAAAAATGTATACAGACTTCAGGAAAGGAAAAATTTGTCTTCCGATTTTTTCACAGCAGTACACTGATGGCTTTAGCATCAACAAGTTCTAAAGGATGTTGTGTATCACAGAAAACCGACTATATTGACGGACCTTGCACATGAAATTGGAAATGTATTTACAGCAATCTCACTGGACATTTGTGTACATTATCACTTAGAGGCCTGACGATTGTGTTTAGCATGAAACAGTCTGTCGCCTCTGAGTGTTAAATTCGATGTTCATTTTTATATTTACATACGCTCTATCTCTGATATTGAGCACTTTATCACATTAATATATTTTAAAACTATATTTCTTCATATATATATATATATATATATATATATATATATATAAAGCAATTGTTAAGTTTCATGAAAATTGGTTGAAAGATAAACAAAAATAAAAATGAAACCAGTAAAAATAGCCATTTTTCACTATGTACTTGGGTTTTCACTATATGGGTGGACTCAGTTGTCAAGCTAAATGACTGTTAAACAATCAACTTATTGTTGGCTACAATTGAGTGAAGCTTGTATTAGATTGCTTGAAAATTGAGGGAGTTTTTACTTGAAAGTTTGTGTTGAAATCCATTTTTCATTTTTCGTTAAACACAGTGGCATAGAAATAAAAAATGTATATATAAGTGGACATATAAATAGTGTGAGTTTGTAAACAGTGACTATTACTGCTACTAATGAATACTCTTCGATAAAACGAATCAAGTTCTCTCAGTCACTGGCGTGTTTATCTAAAAATAAATACGCATTAATTCACTTTCATCCATACCATGCGCCAACTGCTGCCAATTCAGCCGGTCTTCGATCCTAGCTAGAGGCAACCGGACTGATATATGTATATATATATATATATATATATATATATATATATATATATATATATATGTGTGTGTGTGTGTGTGTGTGTGTGTGTATAAAGAAAGAACAGTAAGATATATAATCCGGTGTTCTTGTTGATATTTTTTATTTTTATTTTTACAAAACAGTGCGTAATGTAAATCTACAGAGCATAAATATTATAAATTATTTAAAATATGTTTTTTTTTGCTACACAGTAATAACCATGTTTCAAAAATGGAAGCCAAAAATTTTAAATTTAATTATATAATTAAATTACAAGCATTAGTTACGTTTGATTTTCAAGCGAATATTGGAATAACTTATTTTTAAATTTACTGAGTTTTAAACGCACATATAAGTTCATAATTTACTGTTTCCAAAGATAAAGAGAAATATATATATATATCAATGAATGCTGCCAATTGCATGGACAGATCATAGGATCTTCAAGAAAACTTACACATAAAAAAAGACAGTTTATAACTTGCACATACAAAAAAGACGTCAAATTTTACCTAAAGCAACAGGTGGTAGAAAGTCGTGGAGAGCCGTGATTTGGCCAAATTTTAAAAAAGGCCATGGCTCGTAAATGAAGATATTCAATGCCCATATACACGCTTATTCACGTTTTCGGGGACATTATTTACACACGCTTGCCAATGGCTGTCAGGGTAGTGGGCGGTGTTGTATGAAGCAATGTGGGTAAAGGAAGTTATGCTCCTCGGATCGGGTGGAAGTTTGGTTTAATTTCGATATATCGCCCACCCTGAGATGAACACCCACGTCTCTCACCCGAACGCGTCATTCGATGTCATTTGCATACAGCTGCCTGTCGGTGTGGATTTAATTTTATTTTCTTTCTTTTTTTTTTTTTTGATTGGACTGCTCTTTCTCTGACAACAAAAGCTTCGCTCACTGACTCCATTTTTAGCAGGGACTCTACTGAGGTCAGGCTTCTGGCTGCTAGAGTTTAGAAAGGTTTATATAAAAGATAAAAAAATAAATAAATAAAAGAAAGATAAAAAGAAAATAAAAAGGAAAAACGAAAAGAAGGCAAGTCCCGTCCGGACCGGGCACGTGCTAAGTACCCAAACCCAAAATAAGCAAACAAAAAAAAAAAAAAAAAAAAAATGATGCTTAAATGTGACACGCGAACTGGACGTAGTTGTACATTGCGCCACTAGATATTGAGATTTATTATTTGCATTTTCTCCCCCCCTCACAGCAGACTGCGAACTAACATTTCAAATCTTGTCTAATCTGACACAAGACAATGAGTTGTTTGAAGTTCTTCGTGTATTTAAACTGTCAGTCATTTAAAGACCGATCAACTTATTACATAAAGCTTAGTTAGTCTGACACAAGGCCACTAGCGTTTAATGTAAACTCGTAAACGTAAACGTTTGTTCAGCGAAAGAACTAACACTTCATTAACAAAACTTAGTTATTCTAGCACAAGGCCATGCGCTGTTTGCCGTAATACGTATATCGAAGCAGGGAGTCATCTAAGTATTGATCAGCTTCATTTTATGAAGGGTGTCTCAGTTTGGCACAAGGCCATGTATTGCTAAGATCAACTGATTTTCTAAGCTATCACCCACTTAAGTATTGAGAAAATGATGAAGCTGGTTTGAGCGCCTGGTAGATAGATAGATAGATAGATAGATAGATAGATAGATAGAGAGAGAGAGAGAGAGAGATAGAAAATGAACGGACCGAAATAGATAGATAGATATGAACAACTGAGATAGATCGACAGACATACAGACAGACAGAGAGACAGATAGATAGATAGATAGATAGATATGAACAACAATGATAGAAAATACAGACTGAGATAGATACATACGAACAATTGTGATAGATAGATAGATCGATAGATAGATATATATAGAAAAGGAACAGACTGAGATAGATAGATAGATATGAACAACTGAGATAGATAGAAAATGAAAAGACTGAGATAGATAGATAGATAGATAGATAGATAGATAGATAGATAGATAGATAGAAAGAAAATGAACAGATAGATCTATATGGGCAACTGCGGTAGATAGATAGATAGATAGATAGATATGAACAACTGTGATAGATAGAAAATAAACAGACTGAGATCGTTAGATATGAACAACTGTGACAGATAGATCGAAAGATAGATAGATAGATATATAGAAAATGAACAGACTGAGATAGATAGATATATAAAAAAAGAACTGAGATAGATAGATAGATAGACAGACAGACAGACAGACAGACAGATAGATAGATATGAACAACTCAGACAGATAGATAGATAGATAGATAGATAGATAGATAGATAGATAGATAGATAGATATGAACAACTGCGATAGATACACAAGGACATGCGCTGTTAGCCGTACTATGTATATCTAAGCAGGGAGTCATCTAAGTATCGATCAGCTTCATTCTATAAAGGGTATCTCAGTCTGGCACAAGGCCATGTGTTGCTTAGATCCATTGATTTTCTAAGCGACCATCCACCTAAATAATGATGAAGCTGATTTGAGCGCCTGGTTTTCCATCTGTTAAACCGTTACACGAAAAGCTCGAACCGTGAAAATAAGTCTAATAACTACTTATCAGGCTACGTACTTATTGATCTCGTTTACATTTTGTTATAATATATTATGTCGTCCTTTCTCTTAATGGGTTGACTGTAGATTGAGTTTTTTTTTCTCAGTTACTTTGATGCTTTAGTGATAGCAATGATTTTATTCGCAGTGTCCGAACAGGACTTATTTCCCGCCATTTATTATGATAGGAAGCAAGCTTATGTCGCATCTGCAACTCATGTGGTGATCACAGAACGAAGTTATCGCTCTGTCATACACGCTACCATGGTTACTAGCGGTAAGTTTTCTTCAGGCCGTGGAGGGTAATAGTTTAATAAATAAATAAATAAATAAAGCGTTGGGGGAACCACTATTAATCTCCACTCCCTGAAGAAACAATACCGGAAGAAACCATGGTAGCGTGAGTGGTTAGTATTCTTTGTTTTTAATATTTAATCGCTCTGCACATTTGTTTTTTTCTTCTTCTTTTCATTGTGTATTGTGTATTGAGCACTCTTTTATAGAACCGTTTTCCGGGCAAATCTAACTTTCACCGAAAAAAACCTGCTATATATATATATATATATATATATATATATATATATATATATATATATATATATATATATAGCTTACGTTTTTTCGAACGATGGACGCTAATTCTAATTTTGTTTTTTTTTTTTTTTTTTGGGGGGTTCTATAATCTGGCCAAAATTGGCCAGATTATAGAATTTAGATGTTTGTTTCAATCACTTCTGTTATTAGATATCCCACACCCTGATAATAGAAGTTCTGCTAGCAATGATCATCTCTTATTGGAGAGTCCAAAATAACGTGTATTAATTTCGTAATGTCTGAATAAATTTAGTATTAATAGTTTTTCCTTATCTGAAGTGTGTATACATATATATATATATATATATATATATATATATATATATATATATATATATATATCTATGTGTGTATATATATATATATATATATATATATATATATATATATATATATATATATAGTCACTACTCAGTACATGAAGCTTGGTATAATATATATATATATATATATATATATATATATATATATATATATATATATATATATGGCGTAAGTGAGTGCGAACGATGGATGCTGTGAATTTTATTTTTTTTTGGTGATGGTAGTCTATTATCTAGCCAATTTTATTTAGATGTTTGTTTCACAGAAAACCGACTATATTCACGGCCATTGCATATGACATTGTAAATGCGTTTACAGCAATCCCACTGGACACTTTTGCCAACGTTGTCCAAGCAGTAGTTCGACATACTAACGAATGTTTGGAAAGTAAAGGTCACCATTTTGAGCATCTCTTATGATTGTAGAGTCCAAAGGTAACTTGTATTAATCTTGTGATAGTCTGAATAAATTTAGTATTACAATGACGGAAGTGAAAGATATGCTTCGATAACTGCTAGTCGCAATAAAATATTTTAGTAGCATCTTAATTTCCCACCTGATGAAACGTTACAAAATTTTTAACGTTGAAACAAAATGTACAGTTTTGTAGTGGGTATGTGCATGTTCTAATGTAACACTACATAATACACACACACACACACACACACACACACACACACACACACATATATATATATATATATATATATTTAAAGATATTTTTGTAGGTACAAAATTTAATGATCGAAATAAAAGTGTAAAATTTAATATTACAAGACATATTAAAACAATATTAAATAATAATAATAAAAAACTCAACAACAAGGGGGGAAGCAACCGGTTTCGCTCCCGCTCGTCAGGCTTCCACGGGAGATTCAAAATTAAAACAGAGAAAGGTACAATCAGAATAGGTGAAAAAAATATACATATATGTACATATATATACCTGCATATATGCAAGAATGATCTATATATATATATATATATATATATATATATATATATATATATATATATATATATTATGAAATGGACAAAGTCCGACAATTATTTTAAGACATTTTTATGTTTATACATTCTTTTTATAGATACAACTAGCAGCATTACCCGGCGTTGCCTGGGTTTATTCAAAAAATATCACAAACCTCATCCAATCTGTAAAGTTAAAATAAAGAAGATTTTTCTTTAGTGCCTCTTATCAATATGGCGAAAAATTATAATGACATGAAGTGTGAAAACATTTATAACGGGAGAAAGTTGTTTTTTACGGAAGCACAGAAGATACAAAGACATTTGTCAGCAAATGAAGAGTACATTAATCGCAATCGATCTTTGAAAATTGTTGAGGAGAAATGCTTTGTTGACAGCTTTTGCTCAAACTACATCGAATGAACAACATGCATTGGAAGGAGAAGAAATTCAACAAACACTTCGCCTAGCAGCCGTGCCAAGGCTGAAAACCAAAGTTCACAAAGACTGTATAGAATTATTCTTTGCCCCTCAGTTTTGACAGCTCGAGTAGCAATGGTTCTGGCAGCGTTCCTTCCTCTCCTATTTAACCGTTGCTCATTAGTTTATGCTGACCTTGCATAGCATTTTGTGTCAGTCTAATTTGAGTTACGTATTGCGAAGCGTTTCTTCCCTGTGCTTTCATGCGTTTGGCTGTAGTAGTAGCATGTCCAAGTGAAGGATTTCGCTTTCTTGGCATTACTGTCATGCTGTAGTTGGAGGGGTTTGGCTAAGCTTTTTGAATAACAATGAAGTAATCAATTAAAAAACAAGAATATTATACACATTAATTGAAATATAGCCACAATAAATTAAATGGAAGTTTATAAGGGAGACCACGGGAACGTGGTAAACAATTATAAGCAAGCTCGTAAAGTTAGGATTTATCTAAAAATAGACTACCAAAAAAACGTTCTAGTGATAAAAATAAAAAAAAATTAACGTGATAGAAACCTACTAACTATAAACGTTAAAACGAACACGCTAAGTTTAGCATAATTATAAATGAATCGAAAGTGGGTCTTTACATTCTTATAAGTGCATTTTTCACAATAAAACTGTCAAAATTTTAGGGCTCAAGTTTCCAAATATATGAGTTAGTAAGCATTATTTAGACGCTGATTAGAAGATGATAAATGCATAATTAACAATTGGCGTTTACACTTAAACTTTTTTTTAATAATATGATTTTCACAAATTTAAATTTAAAGTATCAAAAATTCAAAATATACATGCATGAAGGCAGCCTAAATTTTACTGGATGACAACTTTGATGCAATGAGATTTTTTGCATTTATTTCATCACATAGCACTAATGAACTCTACACGTGAAACAAAATCGATAGTACGCACTACATAACTCGATCGATCATTGCACGTGGAGCAAAATCAATTGTACACACTACACATCTCGATCGATCTTGCACATGCGTCTTATACCTACGTGCACTTCTCTCATCGGTGCACACTTTCGTTTGCAGTTATTCTTTTTTTCTTAAGGAAGGATATAATTTTAGTCGTCAAGTTAATGCAAACTAAACTATTTCAGTACCAAAACGGGGAATCAATGGGAAAAACTGATATTTTCATAATGTATTTATGACACATGGGGTGTCAGTTTTAATTTTGAGTTGATTGATCTAAACACAAATTATGCGTAAATTTTCCTCGGAATGCTGCTAACCACTACAATTGAAAGACTAATGGGGCAGCAAGGTGTTCATTGGTCATCTTGGGGCCCCTTATGTAGTTTTTAAAATCTGATAATCGTTTTTGATTCATTTTAAGATTGTAACATACATATAAAATTCCGTCGAAATCAAAGCAATTTGAAAATTAGGGGGGCCCTTTGGTTCACCCCAGGGGTCCCAAATTTCAAGCCAAAGAACAGGTTTAAGACTAATAGTAATTGAAATAATAAAGCAAATCTTTTTTTAAGTTTTCTATTTAATTGACTTTATGGCCAAGGCTGTAGACTTAATTGAAAATTTAGGGGTTCCCTGCTGGTCCCCTAACTCATGGGGGTCCCAGTGTTGATTTTCAGTGAATTCCAAGTGACTAATTCAGTTACTCGATATAATCTCAATATGTACTGAAATTTTCATTGACATTGGGGAATACTGCTACAAAATACACTTGAAAAGCAATTGAGGCATCAAGGGGTTTATAGGGTCATCCTGGGGGTACCCACATGCATTTTTAAAAATCTGACAACCGATTTCTATCTCATTGTAAGAGCGTAACAAACAAGCAAAATTTCATCAAAATCGAAGCAATTTGAATTTTTTTTGGTCCCTTTGGGGCACTCTGGGGGTCCCAGTGTCGAGAGAAATGAAAATCAATATAGCGTATAATAAGCGGGACAATAAGTTGCATACACTTATCTAGTTTCATTAAAATCGGCCTTAGGGTTTAGACTTCAAGTTTAAAAACAATCAAACTAATGGAAATTCCCATTTAAACATTATAGTTATCAATTATTGATTTTTGAAAAATGACTAATTTTTTTGTCCAGACACACCCAGTATCGAGTACAATCTATGTTCCAAATTTGGTGAAAATATGCCTTATGGTTCTTGAGTAGTTCACGAACACACACAGACACACATAGTCAGTTATATATATATATATATATATATATATATATATATATATATATATATATATATATATATATAAGATAAGAATATTTAAGTAAATGCTCTGTTTATAGTAAACAGTATTAAACAATACATACCGGCCTGAAGAATATTTTCTGTGAAAATTTCTCGGACATTCAGGCCGGTAAATGTTGTTTAATACTGTTTACTATAAACAGAGCATTTACTTAAATCTATAAAAAGAATGTATAAACATAAAATGTCTTTATATATATATATATATATA